GGGGAATTGAGCTGAGCTCAATACCTTCCCGAAACTGATTCGATCATGGCTGATTCCTCGATCTAGATTGGCAATTCCAATCAAGATCGCCGGGTTTTAAAAACTTCATTGGATGTAATGGTGGGAAAGTGGGAGAGGTGAATATACTCCAAGTTATCATTTATAATGCAAAGAACTAAATTGTTACAAGGAGTAAATTAATGAGGATGAAAAAGCCTTTAGTATGGCCCCATTGTTGTCAATTTAAGTTGCGGTTGATGAAGTTAATGAGGAAAAGAAAGCATTTAAAACCTGCATGAATTGGGGAAGACTCTCATAAAGTTCATATACAAGCACTCCAATATCATTAGGAAAAATTCATATACAACCACTTAAATGTCATTCATTCAAGGGAAAGTTTATATAGAGATGAGGCTCTAAACAATCAAATTAGAGCCTGTCTCAAAAATTTTACTAGAAGAGATTGTTTTGATATCTAAATATCTTCAAATTGATCATCTCAACATCAAGATGCATGAGCATATGAAAAAATTGGATTTCAAGTTTTGAAAATAGTGTATTTTGAAATATATTTTTAAGCTGTCAATTTTCAAGATTTTCATAGATATGTCGATCTATACTATTTTTTAAGTTTTAAACTTAATAAAAAATATGAAAATATATTTGTAAGGCTATCACAAACATTTCTAATGTTGAAACCACATTTCTCGACATTATTTGAAGGTAGGCTATAATTTGATTATATAGAGCCTAGGCTCTATACAAACCGCACCCTTCAATCAATGAGCAATATACCTTGGGGGCCAGCTACTTATGTTTACAATCTCTTTCTTGTCCATGGATTTCATTTTTGAGGTCACAATTTGAGAATGATAGCCGCAAATGAGTAGGTGAGTCGCCGTCTATCAAGGACCCAAGCTGCAAGATAATTACTAGTAGGAGGTGGTTGATAGCGTGCAAGTTCGAGATGTGACTTTTAATTACAAACGCAGTTAAAACCAGAGAAATGCACAAGTCACGCGAAATGGAAGATCGATTGTGAGCATTTTATTTTATGGGGTTCGAGAACTAACTCCAAATGATAATTTCCTGCATTTTGTAGGAAAGAAAAACTTGATCGTCACACCAACTACAACAAATAGGAGAAAAAATAAAATAAAATAAAAAGAAGAAAAACAACACAAAATATTCTACCGAAATCATAATTTTTGCTTGCCTTGTGATTATGATTACATGGAGGTGTGCTACCTCTTCTCAATCTTCAACTATAGGAGTGTATATCTTGAGTCTAATGTAGTGAAATTTTGATGAATTAAAGCCTTTGATTCAACTAAAACTCTATTTTCTATACCCAAGGCTCAAGGGACTCCTCACTCTAAAGTTCTGGCTCTCATCACCAAATGTTTTACTATGTCATCAACTATTGTCTCCCCTTTTACCTCTCTGTTGACTCCCAATTTGGGTATTTTTAGTTTTTTTTTTCTCTCTCTTTCTCACTGTTAAAATGGGCAATAGATGTTACTTGCTTATGAAATGCCCAGCACGCCTAACGTTATACAAACAATGTTGAAAGTGAGTGAGTGCTTTTGTGTTTGAAAGTGAGTGCTTGAGAGAGAGAGAGAGAGAGAGAGAGAGAGAGAGAGAGAGAGAGAGAGAGAGAGAGAGAGAGAGAGAGAGAGAGAGAGAGAGTAGAGAGAGTAGTAGAGTAGTAGTAGTAGTAGTAGTAGTAGTAGTAGTAGTA